TTCTTCCCGCTTTCTGTAACTTCTACACCGCCAGCTGCTGACATTTTTCTTTCTATTCCGCCATTTTTTCCACGTGTTATTTCTGCAGTCAAACGCTCCTTTCCCTCCTTCACCTTCCAGGAATTTTATTGGAGGACGACGCAAATTCTCTCTCTTTTTTTAATATTTTATTCTATACAATAACTAATCTCAGCCTACTCCTCTTCAAGGAAGAAAGCTTAGAGTTTGTATGTTTTTGCTGTTCTGTCTGAAGGAGAGCCATTTTCTACGAATTGGGTGGCTTTCCTTTTGATTGTTGCTGCAACCATGGAACGTTACGAGATTGTGAAGGATATTGGGTCTGGGAATTTTGGGGTGGCTAAGCTAGTGAAAGATAAGTGTACAGAAGAGCTCTTTGCTGTCAAGTTCATCGAGAGAGGCCTTAAGGTTTCATTCCACTTTTAGTATCTTCATTTGTCTCTTTTGGGTATCAAAATCTTTACTCTTTTTTTATTTTTTTTTGAATTTTCTGTTCTGTCCGGATATGGCATTGTTGATTGAGGGGTTGTTGGGTATTGCAGATTGATGAGCATGTGCAAAGGGAAATCCTGAACCATAGATCGCTGAAGCATGCAAATATTGTTAGATTCAAGGAGGTTGGTACTTCTAGTTGGCTGTATTTTTTTTTTTTCTTGCTTGTTATATTGCCAATGCTCATGCTTTAATTTATTCCCATAGACAAGTATAGGTCTCCAGTGGCTTTTGGAGTCATAGGCTCATAGCTGCCTTTCATATTTTTGGGCATAGCATAGCTTGAGCTTCCTTTCTTTATCCGTATGTTTTTGGGTGTTTCTGTATAAGTGATCAACTATTTTGGCCTCGAAACAAGACAGCTGCTTTAGAGTCAATATCTAGCAGTGGAATAGATCAAGTATGATAGCTTAGTGCTGCTTTGCTTAAATGGAGGGTTTAGAGTTATGTCATCAATTCTCAGGTATAGCGTTCGGTTTCATGACACAAACACACATGGTGCTTGAATTTCAGAGTTAGCAAAGCACACAACCCTGTGCAGCAGGGTAGGGGAGACTGGATGGAAAATTATGTATTATAATTAAGCTTGACTTTGCATGATGGAAAATAAAAGGGGGAAGATTTCACTTTTGAGGTATTGGCTTTTGCAGGTCTTACTAACACCAACTCACCTAGCAATTGTTATGGAGTATGCTGCTGGTGGAGAACTCTTTGAGCGGATATGCAGTGCTGGTAGATTTAGTGAGGATGAGGTAATGCACATACATAGAGTCAATGCATACTTTGAGCTATAGAGTCAACAGTAACCTCTTGTCTGGACGTTCCATTGAAATAAAAGCATTCTAATATTTGGGGTGAATTTGCAACAGGCCAGGTTTTTCTTTCAGCAATTGATATCAGGAATCAGTTACTGTCATTCCATGGTATAAATTTTCAACCACGTAAATTCTCACTTCTACTCTGCAATAGCATCTGATTTTTTGAAATTTTGTTCTTCAGCAAATCTGCCATAGAGATCTTAAGCTTGAAAATACTCTCTTGGATGGCAGTCCAGCTCCACGTGTCAAAATATGTGATTTTGGATACTCAAAGGTAGTGAATTTGTTAATTGACAAGTCTACATGACAAGGTCAATGAGTTTGATTGTACAGCCTATGTACTGACTATTTTTGGCCTAATTTTGTAGTCTCTGTTGCATTCACAACCAAAATCAACTGTTGGAACTCCGGCCTACATTGCACCCGAGGTTTTATCCAAGGGAAAATATGACGGGAAGGTAATAACCTTTCTTTTCATTTCTGTAATTTTTTCTTTTTTTTTTTGGCTACTTCCTACTTATAAAAGCCATTTTCTATATCTAATCCTCATACATAACTATAGATTGCAGACGTTTGGTCATGTGGAGTCACCTTATTTGTGATGCTAGTTGGGGCATATCCCTTTGAAGATCCTGATGATCCAAAAAACTTTAGGAAGACACTTGGGGTGAGTGGTTTATAAGATTTTTGAAAGTACACATTGACAGGAGATGATCTAGACAGACTTAAAAACTAGGATATAAAAGTTGACATTTGCCCTAATATCATCATTGTGAAGCTCCTACTAAATGATTATTGATCATTGCAGCGGATTCTCAGTGTCCACTACTCAATCCCAGATTATGTTCGAGTCTCTAAGGAATGCAGACATCTTCTATCTCGAATTTTTGTGGCAAACCCTGAAAAGGTAAAACATGACTGTTAGGAAAGTAAGCACCTATTTTAATTTAACCATAATGAAAGGTTTTAATTTCTTCTTCTAAGGGTTGCATAGCTTCCCATTTTGATTTTCACTTCTCATTGATGCACAAGTCTTTATATTGTGAGATGATAAGGGCTCTCTCATGCTTTTGCTCTTTTGCAGAGAATAAATATACAGGAAATTAAAAGTCATCCATGGTTCTTAAAAAACCTCCCTGTTGAACTAATGGAAGGAGGAAGTTGGCAAACTAATGACATAAACAATCCGTCCCAATGCCTCGAAGAAGTACTGTACATAATACAAGAAGCAAGGAAGACTACAGAGGTCCCCAAGATAGATGGGTATAACGTTGGAAGCAGCATGGATCTTGATGACATAGTGGCCGATGCAAATATTGATGATGTAGAAACGAGTGGTGATTTCGTCTGCCCACTGTAATCAAATTGTTAAAAAAAATAAACACTAGACTTGAATCAAGATATTGTTTACACCATAATAACACCGATATGAGCATAATGTTGTTGTTGATGAATGATTGAAAGAATTCCTCTGACAAACCCCGCTTTGCATCAGCCCCTCAAACTGTGTGGATGTTTTACTCAAACAACTCTTGTTAATCCAAAATTTGTTCTCTGTCGTAATTATTTCTAAAGAAGAGACGTTAAATTCGTTGTGGGAGATTTAACTATTATACCACCTTGAAATGGGTTCTGTCTCTACAGTCAGGATTAAATGAAGGAGATAACTACTCTACGCTGTAACCCAGCCAGCCCACTAACAAAGACCTGTTTGTTAATTGTTTTGGTGTTGCTGCGCCCTTGTCTTGTTTTCTTTGACCCAACTTTGGATATCCAGTTCATTGATTTCAGGGTCGACTTTTGGAACAGAGAAAAACACCGAACATGCAAATTAAATTGAAGGAAAATGCGGATTAGTTGATTGGACGAAATATTCGTCCATCCCCAGCAGTTTCTTCAAATCAAATAATCTTTTATGACCCTAATTCACAGCACCAATTCACCTATTACCACATGAAAGAATGCAGTCTTCTCCATTGAGGAATTCCATAATCTGCATTCATAAAACTTACCATTTATTCCCCGCATTGTTTTAAGCCTCAAACCATCAGTTTTTTTTCAGTATACACAGGTGCATTACAATGTAAACTATTAATACAGCCAGAAACAACTTGTAAAACCATTTTTTTCCTAAAAAACAAAAGAGCAAGCATATTGGCAGGTTCTTGAAGCCACACTACAGCCCTCAGGAGGAGGTTAGAGGTTGTTGCTGTGAACTGATCCTCCTCTTTCGGAGGCGCTCAGCTATGATGAAGGCAAGTTCAAGAGATTGTGAGGCATTCAGCCTTGGGTCACAGTGGGTGTGGTAACGGGAACTCAAGTCATCGAATGTCACAGTTTGTGAACCACCAATGCACTCTGTCACGTTTTGGCCTGTCATTTCAAGATGAACTCCTCCTGGGTGACTTCCTTCTTGTTCATGCACATCAAAGAAGGCTCTCACTTCAGCCTGTCAAATGACATACAAAATAATTACACTTTCGAAACAAAATAAATGATATATTATGCAAGACATGATGATCATGGTACAGGAATGGTATCAGTAAAGCAGAACAATTATAAATATCATACCCTTATGGCATCAAATGGACGGGTTTTGAGACCACAAGGAGCCTTGATGGTGTTTCCATGCATAGGATCACTAACCCATGTGACAATTTGCCCCGCACAACGGACTGCCCTTATTAGATGTGGAAGCTTCACTCTCATGTTCTCAGCCCCCATTCTCGTGATCACTGTAATCCTCCCTGGTTTATTCTGAGGATTCAAAATTTCAATGAGCTTAACTAGTTCATTTGGATCCATCTTGTCACTAACCTGCAATCCAAGATCAATTTTCATTAGTTATCTTACCAACTCATAATCAAATTCTATGAGGACATAAAATCATCAATTACAATTTGTCCAATATGGAAGTTTGAGATTAGAATGACCATCAAATACCATATATCATTTCAAATAGGAGCAACATAACAAGACACAAATTAAAGGTTGCCTTTGGGCAATATTTAAACCAAATGAACTTGATGATTCTTGGATGTTAGGGAGGTTCCTACTATTTTGTTCACAACAAGTTTAGGTTTGGAATCTTTGGATAACTATATATAGCAAAAATATGAAACATAATTTGACAAAAGTAACAGCACAACCAGAATTTTACTATTTTGCTCGTAAGTTTCAAAATGAGGTCATGTTCACTTGTTAAAAGCTATATAACTTACTTAAATGTAAAATTAAATTACCTTAATGCCAAGAGGATTTGCGATTCCTCTCAGAAACTCAACATGAGCACCATCCAGCTGTCTAGTACGTTCTCCAACCCAGAGAAAATGTGCAGAACAGTCATAATAAAGTCCAGAAGTTGAATCTTGCCTGGTGAGTGACTGTTCATATGGCAAGAGCAAGCATTCATGTGACGTACAGAAGTCTGTGGTTGTCATGATAGGATGGTCAACGGTAAGTCCGGCTGCAGCCATGAATCCAAGGGCCTCATCAACCCTATGAGCTAATTCCCGGTACCTGCCAACCAAGGCAAGGGATGAAGAGATTTGCAAAAGAAGTTCAGATAAATATTTCCCAGATTAGAGTCATGCATAATTTGGATAACGAATCATAAAAGCAAACGTGAGCATAATAAATGAGTTAATGAACTATTGTCACCTTCGGAAAAAACAGAAAGAAGAAACTGACAAACCCATGTTATGGCACCAAGATTTTAGATTCTCTCCAAGATACCATATACCACCAACTTAAAAGGCATTCGATGCAATAAAGCAAACAATCATAATATCACATTCAAGCCAGATAGACACGTGTTATGACGCCAAGATTATAGATTATATCATTCACCCAAGATACAATATAGGAACAACTTAAAGGCAAGGCTATGACAAAGCAAGTAAAAACATTCAAGCTGAGTGTTCACAGATATTTGGCTCTTCGATCATGAAGGTATTGAGGAAGTAACATTGATGTGATTGCCTCAACTTCCTCAGTTGAAGGATCATGAAAAAGTTATGAAACTTCCAAAAGAAGGCTCATTTCACAAATACCTAACAACAAAATCCGCGAGTGATATCATGGAATTGACAAACCACAAAGAATTAAACATTTCTCAATTATAAATACAAATATAATCTCAAATTCAAACAAGCACAGAGCATGGCAATTGACAGAGGAAGTGAAAATGACTAAAATCAATACCTTCTCATTTCTACAATGTAGTATACTTGGGCGTCCACCACAAAGTTCCACGAAAATAATGACAAAGAAATAAAGTTCAAATCAAAATTAACATAATCAAGTTCGAATTGAAAATTACCTGTCTCCCTGCTCGCTATGCTCCGTGAAATCCAAATTCCATTGTGTGACCCTCTGCATAGCAGCATACCCTCCAGTCGCAAAAGCCCTCAATAGATTCAAGGTGGCAGCAGACTGACAGTAAGCTCTGATCATCCTCTGAGGGTCAGGAATTCTCGACTTCTCATCAAAGGCGTCTCCATTAATATTGTCACCCCTGTAACTTGGCAGCTTCACTCCGTTTTTCTCCTCGAAAGGGTCCGACCTTGGCTTTGCAAACTGCCCTGCCATCCTCCCCACCTAAATTAAGAACAAAAGAAAATTCAGAAAAAGAAAAAAATGGCACCAGCGACGGAAAAACTGACATGCAATGAATGTTAGTTAAAAATTGGACCTTGACGACGGGCATTTGACCGCCGAACATCAAGACGGCACCCATCTGAAGGAGAATCCGGAAGGTATCACGAATGTTTATAGCGTTGAATTCCTTAAAGCTCTCCGCACAGTCGCCGCCTTGCAAAAGAAAGGCTTTCCCAGCAGCAGCCTCAGCCAGCCGCTCCTCCAGGATCCGAGCCTCCCCAGCGAACACAATCGGAGGGAAAGCCTCGAGCGTCCGCAGCACCGATTCAAGCTCCTCCTGATCCGGGTATTCCGGGAGCTGCAATGCCCTCTTCGACTTCCAGCCATCCACGGTCCATTTCCCGGGAACCGCATTCCGCAGCGGAGCACTTACGACCGCTGACGAAGCAGATTTCGTCGCATGTAGCTGCTTCGTCGGTTTCTCAGATGAAACCGGGTTGTTAGTAGAGTCGGCGGAGTGGACAGCGGAGACACGGAAGACAGACGGCGAGTTGGGTTTGATGAAAAACGAATGCGGGTGGGTTTGAAGGAAGGGTTTGGTGGGGATGACGGAAGAGTTGGTGAGAGCCATTGTAAGTTTTTCGCCGGGAGACGAAATGGATGTTAGATTTTCCAACTTCCTGAAGAGGTCGGAGGGAAGCGGGACAGAGCTTTATGGGGCGACGGGTCGGTGATTGTAATCTACAGGTGGCGACGTGGCGTGAGTGACTTGGCTGTCCTGTGGGGACGCGGTGGTGGTTGGGGTGGAGGGTGTTTTTGACCATTCTGTATAAATAACGGGGGGTATTTCGGGAATAATGCAAAATCTTTTCACCGTTCTTCACCAACTTATTTTCCGGTGACATGGAGAAAGATGTTATCTAGGCATGCCTTTATGATTCTCGTTACCTACTTAGGTGCATTGAATGTTTGTAACTGAAGTCTTCGTGACGGAGAATATGCGAATAAATCTTTTTATATAATTTTTATATATTATTATATAAATAAATAAGATTCATGATTATTCGTTTTATTTTTAAAAATTTTAAAATAAAATAAATTATAATTCATATTTTAAAAAGATGATATTTTAATTTTTT